AATTTTTGAAAACTTTTAATAATTGGAAAGACCTGCAAGGCAGCATCTTTTCTGCCAGAGTTTGCAAAATGTCGAGGTTTTTAAGCAGTTTATGACAATCATATCCAACAGATTGTCCTCCATGAAAAGCCTAAGCTTTTATGTTCAATGCTTGAAGCCACTCATCTGCTTTTGACCACGTGTTTTTGAGAATCTTGAAGAGATGGTTTACTACTCCCAAAAGCAGATAAAGCTCCACTGCTGGTTTGAGGTCAAAGACAAAAAAAGAAACACCAAGTGAGATTATTGGTTCATGAACCACATTTCCAAACTTCTTGTCATTTTTTTTGTTTGAGCCAGCTGCTGTAAACTCATTAAAAGTCTGCTTCAAAGGTGCAAAAGTTAGATGCAAGAGGTAACAAAATTGACATCTTTAATGACAAGAAATGAGAGACTGAGTTTAACATTTGTGTAGTTTTCTTGAACTCCTTCTGCAATAGCCACGAGAAGTTGCTTTTTGACTCCAGAATCTTTAGAGGCTTGAGATGTCAGAAGACGTTTGTTGGGAGGTGAACATTCTCCATACTCCGGTTCTTTGGTAGTGACACCCAAGCAAACTTTCAAAAATCCTCCACCACCATTTATTCCAAGTTTGATGATGTGTTGTGAAAAAATCTTTCGTGAGAGAAGAAGTTTTTCAATGAGACTGTTCAAGTTTTTTGCGATGAGCAACAATGCAGTTTGATTTTGTCTGATCAGAGGAGGTAAATGTCATGGTATTCTAAGTGAAACTATTTCCCAAGCTTTTTCCAAGTTCTAGAAACTTCTTAAAAATATTTGGCTCAAAGACTATTGCAGCAGTAACATGGTTCACTGTCAGTGGTAGATGTCAACTTTTTAATCCCAGTGTTTGATAAGCCTATATTTATCTGAATTTGAGCAAAATATTTTGCTGAGACAACTGGATGATCCTTGAAAATTTGCCTTGAGCTTGATGGTCCTAAAAATACACAAAGCCTATTTAAAATTATTTCCAAAACTTAAATTTGAAAAAGTTTTTGAGGTACATTACCTGAAGTTATTGGCAGAGATTTTCCCCCCTTGGCAAGACGAACTGTTTCATGAGGAGATGATTCCTTGTTTGCAATTGCTGATGATGCAATTTGTTCTGCAACTGTGCAATAATCTGCTGCCGAAATTCGTAAATTTTCACGAAACTGAGCAGTAGAGCATGGATGAGGTAGACCCCTACCAATTAGAGAAAAATATTTTGAGCAACGCCTATCAGAGCTTTGTTCTTCATTTTTTTCCATCTCTAATGGGTGCTTTTCCTTTAACTTTAATATTCCAACAAATCAGATCAGGCAGTTGCATTGCTGTTGAACAGTTGAACAGATCAGGCAGTTGCATTGCTGTCTTCTTGTTTGGGACCTAACAATTATTGTTTCAAACTAAAATAGCTCAGGTAGTTCCACTTGTTGCCCCTTATCACGTTTTCTTAAAGCAGTTCTGCATTCCACAAACCTTGAGGATATCTTAAGTCATCAAAGTCAGTTGGTCGGCTATATATTTTTTGGACTTTGTCAATCAAAAATGCTGTCAGCACTGTATTGGTCTTTTTTAAACACAATAGGCATACAACTTTGTGGTTTTCGTCATGAGATCGAGCTGAATTAGGCATTTTCCTTATTTTTTCAATGAGAGCTGAAAACTCGAGAATCACAGAATTTCACAGAATTTGCGTTCAGAAAAAAGTGTCTTTTCCCGAATTTTTTTGTCATATTAAATATTTTAAAAATTACATGTTTTAATATTTGTAAATGTCTGTAGTTTAATTATATATCTTAAATAATATTTGCTGCTGTAAAAATGTAAATTTTTGAATGCTGTCATTTCTCATATATGTGCAATCGGAAAAAAATTTAAAATGATTTTTCTTTCTTGGACGTAATAGGATGATTTGATTTTTGGTATTTCTGGAATCCCCAGGTTATAAGCTTTCACATGCATATCGCGGTTTCTCCGGGAACGGACTTGACACTTAACCCGGTTTCAGGAGTACGGTAAGCAAATTGGTACTTTTTGAGGATTCACTTCCACTCATTTTATTTGTAGAATTGCCTCTGATCATAATCACCAGTGGTCAATGTTATAAAACGTTTTACCGGCGTAAATGCTACCGGTAGAAATTTTATTCCGAGAATTTTTACAGCCGTAACCTTAGAGTCGTAATATTCAATATTATAAAACTTTTCCGCATCAAATTTTGTAGATATCCCTAATTTATTTTGTAGATATCCCTAATTTATTTTTAGAAATTTATTGTTCAATAACATTTTCAAGACATTAAAGTTTGTCAGAAACAAAGTTTTTTTGAGTTGAAGATTCAAAAACATTAGTACAGGTTTCTTCAACTTAATATTCATATATTTAGATCTTCAATAAAACTTTCCGTTTGTCCCCCCACCGGAATATTTTTCGACGGCAAACGTGTCGGCAGAAAGTTTATCACCGGTAGTATATGAAAATGTTTTATATCATTAGCAAAAATCATTTATGATAGTAAGTTTTACCACCCGTAACATTTTACGCCAGTAAAAAGCTTCATAACATCAACCCCCTTTTTTAATAAAATATCAACGATCGACCCACTTTTTTAATAAATTCTCTTTTTTTCACGCAAGTTTTATAATAAAATTGAGCAAAAATTTTATTGACTAGCCTAAAATGCTTTTTTTCGAAAACAACCCAAACTAAAAATTTTTACAGAATACGCTTAAAATTCATTGTTAAATCCAGGATTTTGGTGGGGCTAGATGTTAGTACCAAAAATGGTAAGCGTAATTTAAAATAAAAGTCCTATGTTTCTTTCCCGTTTTTTCTTTGCTCGTGGTAATCTTAATCTGGAATAACATTACCACGCACCCCATGTGCAAATTTAGGGGCCCTTTTGGAAGTTTATGCAACTTTTTTTCTTTTTTTCTTTTTGGTTATACCAAAAGAAAAAGTTTCAAAGATTTTAGAACACTAACAAAAAGTTTTAAACATGACAGCTGGCACCTCCTGAATGTATTGTATATAATAACAAAAATGCTGGATTTAAAAATTTTTCCAATAAAGAATATTTTAAAGGGTTGCCACTGACTCTTGAACATTTAATAAGTCCCTAATATTATTTTAAAAAAATTTTTAAAAAAATGTCATGTTGTGTCTCAAACAAAGCAAAATTATATTAAAATTTCAAAAATATTAGTCATTTTATAACTAAATTTTTATTTTAGATTTTAGTGAAGAGAAAATTATGTTTTTTAACTAAAAATAAAAAACAGGAAATTTGACAAGATTTTTAATAATATTTTTTTTTATCGATGCTTTTTTATAAAATAAATATTATTTTTGAAATTTTTATACAATTTTGCTCCGTTTGAGACATACTTTTGAAAAAAAAATTTTATTCACGGTTTATGAACGGTTTTATTAGTTTGATAATGGTTTTTACTATATGAGCCGAAATATCACTTATAGAGAAAATAAATAAATAGTATGATACTATATATATGATTTTAATGCTTATAATTCCACATACTATTAAAGATGTCACTTAAATTTTATATATAAATATATATATATATGTATATATATATATATATATATATATATATATATATATATATATATATATATATATATATATATATATATATATATTTATTTATAAAATTACACTTGGAAAAGTTAAGGCTAAATGTAAAGAACGTGGACACTCTAAGAAGACCTTAAGGTCTTGTCACAGAGAACCGCTGTTGAAATTTAGACATTTCTTTCGTTATAGTTTTAAGTTATAGTTTTCTTTATAGTTTTTTTATTTGCTTAAAGGTGCTTACAACCTTCCAAGCGACTGTCTAATGCAACTTTTATCTGATAAATTTCACTTTCTCAAAATCAAAACATATGGTCAAGTAATCTTCATTCAATGATTATTATTTGGTATTTCAATTGAATTTTTCTACTTCATTTTCTATATCTAGGACTTATTTCTCCATGAGTTGCATCTTTGTTTTTTTTTCCTTTAAAGTATATGAACAAGGTCATAAATAAAGTATAAGTAATTAGGATGTTACTTTTTTCGTTTTATAGTATTGATCTTTATTGTATTGATAAATATTGATCAAATACTTGTAATGTAACTTCATGTTCTTTCTTAGTCTGTAATAATGTTAACTCCTTTGTGAAACATCTATACAATGCTACTCTTCTGGTATAAAGGTTTATGAATATGTACATACACATATATACACATACGCATACATATAAACACATACATACATATACACGTACACATATCCAGATACATACATACATACATACATACATACATACATACATACATACATACATTCATACATACATACATTCATACCCACATGCATACATACATACATACATACATACATACATACATACATACATACATACATACATACATACATACATACATACATACATTTATACATACATACATGCATGCATACAAACATATACATACATATACACACATAAACATATGTACAGGGCCGACACGATTGAATGCATACATACATGCATGCATACACACATATACATACATATACACAGTGCCAGATTAAACCTTAGGCAAATAAGGCACATGCCTTAAGGCCAACAAAAAATCCAGACCATAAAAAATTTCAACATAAATTTATATTTATGTCTTATCTTTATTGATGAAACTATTATAATTATTCCAATTATTATACACATTTTGTTCATATATCAATTTTATGATGTCAAAAATTGTAACTAATTCATTCTTATAAGTGTTAATTTTTTTCTTTTAAAATATCAATTTAAAATATTTCGAATAAAATATTCGAAAAATATTGTGTTTTTTTATATTTTTGAAATTCGATAACATTTGTTTTAAACAGTGAAACTCTTTCGTAAACAATAACAAAGCGTAGTAATAAAATTAATGGTTTTAGCAAATGGAGATACTTTTAGATATAACTATTGTTATAAAATTGTAATCCTTTAAATTTATTAGTAGGTTTAAAGAAAAAAAAGCATCACATTTACTGCAGAAAGAACTGGGTATAGCTTTTTTGTTCAACATGCCATGTTTTAAATGTTTCTATCAAAACATATTTGTCACATATTTTATTTATTGTTGATATTAATATAATAAAGCTCACTGATATAATATGCATTAGATCCATGTATCTCAACTATACTGAGTGACTTTCATTTTGACTTTCACTATCATACATTATTATCTATATATATGTGTATGATTTTTTATCATATATATATAAAACAATATGTTTAATCATTATTATATCACATATCCATTTTACATATTCTAATTAACATTATTTTAATTCATAAATTAGTTCTTGCTATAACATTGAAAACGTATATACACTATACATGTAGAACTTCAGTTCTGTGACCTAGGGGTATAAGAAGCAGATCATTAATAAGTCAAACAATCAATCCCAGTGAGTAATTTGCATGAATTTTTGAACACCATGCTCCTGAAATAAACAAACATAAAGTCCTTCACTTATAGGAATCTATAATTTTTAATGAATTATGTTGGCGCTGTCATCATTTATTGATAGATTACCTCTCTTTAACAGCACTGTGAAATGTTTTTGGATTATATGTGGGTGCATTCTAGAAATCCCATCATCTGAATTCATAATTGGTGTTTATTCTGGTAGTTCAAAACCAAATTCATCAAATGATTTTCTTCTGGTATACTGATAGTTTGATTTTAAATTATTATTATGAATATAAAAATCTATATTATATATAGGTTTTGTATGCTCTTATCATGCAGTTCACAAGAAATTTTTACATCAATTTATGATATGACTTTATGAATCAATTATTTTTAAATCGAATAATTATGCTATTGAATACATATAAAGATCACTTTTACGTTTTACTTTTAGATTAATGTCGATACGTAAAGGTGGTTGGGAGCGAGCGAAGGAGTTCGAGAAGAAAATGCATGATGAAAATAAACTGTTAAAGAAAATACCCAAAATCAATTCATTTTTCACTGCCATGAAAAAGGTTGATGCTACTAATAATATTACTCTCAATTCCCTACCATTTACATTAACATCTCAGGTAGGTATTAATCACAAGGAAGAGACTGTAAAAATTGCATTTGAACTTGGACATAGTAAAAAATTTGAAGACGGAGCTGATACTGGTTCAGGAACCATTCCCAATGTTGTTGGGGGTTTTGGTGACATAACAGATCATGTGCGTAACATGTGCATCAGCCTTGGAACAATCCATTTTCGAAACTTGGCAGATAGTTATCCAGAAACAAAGCGGGAATACAGTGGAGTGAATTGCTTCCTAAATTATAGTGTCTTTAAATTTTGCCAATTGGTGATATCAGTAGATTCCACTCTTGATATTACTCATTGTGACCAGCTGACCATAATTCTTCGTTATATTAATATGGTGGATTACCAGCCAGTGGAGCGTTTTTTGACATTTATCAATATATCCAGTTACACAGGACAGAATCTTGATGACACACTGCTTCAGTACTTGTCAGATCAGGACATCGACTACTAAAATTGCCGTGGTTAGACATATGATAATGCTAGCAATATGTCTGGTAAATATATTGGCATGTAACAAATCCTGAAAAACAAAAACAGTTTAGTGGACTACATTCCTTGTGCTGCCTACTCGTTGAACCTAGTTGGCCAGTCAGCTGTGGATTGTTGCGTTGAAGCATTTTCATTTTTTAACATATTGAATCGTCTGTATAATGGAGTCATGACCGATGAAGATATTGATATTGCTGTTAAAGGAATGGTTACTGTGTACTCGAAAGACCTTTGTTCTGATTTTCCAACAGAATTTCGACAATTTATGTGCTGGTATAAAGAACAGAGAAACTATGAAGAAGGATCAACTGCACAGAATCAAGTTGATTCAAGTGCCTAGAAGATGTTTAAAATGCTGCACAATTCTAGTGTATATCAAGCATTTCCAAATACTGAAATAGAACTCTGGATCTACTTATGTCTGATGTCAACCAATTGTTCAGGAGGACGTTCGTTTCCTCAATTGAAAAGAATTAAAGATGCAAAACGATCAACAATGGCTCAACAGCGTCTTTCTGTACTTGCACTTCTGTGCATTGAAAGTGATTTGCTCAACAAGGTCAACTTCAAAGAAATAATTGACAAATTAGTTATAAAAGCGCGAAAATTTTAAATAATGTAGTTTTTGCCTAATAAATATTCTTTTTTAAATTTTACTTTTTTTTCTTTTTTCGCGAAAGTCCGTATTATCTGTATTTTCAGGCCACTTATTAAAATGTGCCTTAGGGCCAACAAAGCCTTAATCCGGCACTGCATATACACACATACACATATCTACAGGGCCGGCGCGAGTAGGTGTCACGTGGGAAGGGTCCCATTACAACTTTCGCCGACTAAAACAAAAAAAAAAGTCCTTGTTTTTTAAAATTTGCCTACTGCGTTTATGAACTTAACTTGTATAATACTCTATGAACTTTTATAACTTTTATGAACTTAACTTGTATAATATTTTATGTTTTACGTTTTGTTGTATGAACAACCTAATATAAAACGTTTTTAAAGATTTATTTATCTTTAAAGTAAAGAATAACCATAAAAAAAAAACCGTTTTGTCAAACAAAGATTAATCAATTTTGTATAGATTATTAAGCCCCTTATCTCTGGAATAAAATTGTCCAGCTTAATTTAGATTCATCTAAGGAAACGGTGTCAGGTTTGTACGCAATAAAACAAAGTGCAACTTAAGACACTCATTCTTTACTAACAGAATAACAAAAACATGGAGTAAACTACCAAGAGAAGTGGTTAATGCAAAATCAGTAAACAGTTTTAAAGCACAATTAGACAATTGACTCCTTTTAAATTAAATTATTAGTGACACGGCTGTCTAAGTGTGATTAAATACACACACTCGTCGTCTTCGGGCGACTACAGCATCTTTTATTACTATCGAAGAGAACAAAAAATGAATGAAATGTTGAGTAATTCTTATAAGATTATTAGATAAAGAGCGCAGAATAATACTATTTGTTCAAAACATCATCGAGTTTTAAGACTTATTAAATGGTGTTCAATTTTGAATCTTGATATTCAAATTTTTATAAATTCTGGGGGTATAAGATCGAATGCATGCCCAATATCCCTCTAGATCCGTCACTTTTAAAATTATGAACTACATTAAAAAAAGTATTAATTGCATAATTTGTTAGTAGCTGAGAAGCGCGATTAAAATAAATTTAAAAATGGCAATAATTTTTTTTTCAAGTCACTAGTTAGTTACTATTAAAAAAAATTTCAGTCTTTAAATGGTGACTACTGAAAAACTTTCTTATCTCTAATTAGGGACCATTAAAAAAATCTTTAACTATAGTTGATGGTCGTTTTAGCTAAAATGACCATAAATCCTGATTAAATTAAATTTTTAAAAATTTTTACTTACCACGATTCCTTTTCAATTGAATAAAAACAAATTTCTATAATTTTTTTTTTTTTTTATAAATTATAGTATTTGTTTACTGCGGTTGGAGGAAACACAGAAAGACATACATTTTAATCATTTTTAATGTAATAATAAATAGCAGATACTATTTTTAAAAGCGCTTTTTGAAACTAATAATTTTTATAAATCTTTTTTATAATTTTTTCAAAATTAGTTATTCAATAACATTTAGAGTCATCCATATTAGTAGAATTACTATTTGTAAATATTCATGAAATTATTTTTCAGAATATATATATATATATATATATATATATATATATATATATATATATATATATATATATAAAATATATATATATATATATAAATATATATATATATATATATATATATATATATATATATATATATATATATATATATGTATATATATATATATATATATATATATATATATATATATATATATATATATATATATATATATATATATATATATATATATATATGATGATGATATGATATATGACATATTAGCTTATTTAAAAAAAAAGTTGATTTAATATTTTTTGATCTTAAAGCGTCAAAAAGTTGTTAATATGGGATTGCTAATTAACTTAATCACTATTTTTCACTCTTTGGCATGACATCTTTTAAAACATTTTTTGACGCGTTTGCTTGGTATTTTTTGCATAATTTCTATTTAATTCATTTAATGATAATTTCTTAAATTAAGGGCCACCTTTGAAGTTTAACACCATTAAGTGCTTTTAAAATTAATGTCGATGTTGCTCTTTCCTATTAGATTGATATAATAGTATTATATATATATATATATATATATATATATATATATATATATATATATATATATATATATATATATATATATATATATATATATATATATATATAATATATATATATATACATATATATATATATATATATATATATATATATATATATATATATATATATATATATATTTATATTATTAATATAAAAACAAATACATTATTATTCATACATACATACATGTATACATAATTTTATTATAATATACATAATATGCATATGTAACATTATGTTGTACATTTTTTTCTGTACAATTTATCTGTAGTATTAATAATAAAATAAAATATAATAATAGTATATTATAAATACTATTATTAAGACTAATTGTTTAGATTTTATATCTTTATTTTGGGACTTAATTCAATAAAAAAAATGTCAAAAAATGAAGAAATAGTATGTTTGTTTGATGTTGATGGAACCTTGACTGAATCTAGAAAAGTAAGTTTCTTAATAATATTATTTTTGATCATAAAATCTAATAAAAGGCTAATTAAACAACTTCACGAATATGACAATAAGTAAAAAAGTTGTATTTTTTTAATTTATGAATAATTTTTTTAATGTTTATTTTTCAAAATTCATAGAAAATGAAATGTTTAGTTTTTAAATTATAAAACTTTTTTTTTTTCAATTGATATTTAGTTTCTGATGTATTTAAATAGAAACCAATTGCAATGTCTAAACAAAACTAAAATTTCTTTCAAATTATAAGCTGATATTAAATATTTAAGCTAACATTCACAGACTAGAGAAGTTGCTTATTTAAATTGTTTACAACACTAATCTAAGACTACTGACAACTGTATTGCAGTTGTATATGAGGTATTCCACAAGGAAGTGGGACAGGCATGTAACCCACCATCTCAGATTTGCTTCATACTTTGTAAAAATGGTCATCTGTATAACATAGACTACCTTGCAAAGTTTTAGCACTGATATCAAATGAGTTTTGGAGATAGTGTAAAATCAGAGATAGGTTTTTTGGAGATAGATTTAAAAATCAGCTATTTTTAACAGTTTTTTTTGTTCGGTGGTCATTTTGATTTTGCTATAGTTTTTTTTTTTACAAGTTACTGTTCAACTAAACATGTAATAATATGATAAATAAATATGAACAAAAAATATGAACAAAAGAAAAAAACGAAAAAAAGCCCTTGTAAAGTTCATGCATCCTCATTTACCTAACACTTCATAACAATGGCCAGGTAGAGATTATTATTGTAAGGTTCCAAAGCCCCATATTTTAAAAAACTGATAAAAAAAACATTATCTTTAAGAACAGGGCGCATATACCAGATAGACAGATGATTTGCCCTAAATCCAATTTGTAAATTATTACACCAGTTTTCTTTTACAAGCAATTTATGAATAAATCAGATCCAAATTCTGGTTTTTTATTGCCTAGTTTTTTTATTTAAAACTTCTATTTATTTAATTTTTTAGACTCAATATGTTATATTTATTATGAATTTTTCATTTTAACTTTTGAAAATGTTTTTTTTTTTTAATTAAAGTTTTCAAAATAAGCAATTTTGCAAATATAAGCAATCTTAATAAGTAACATCCAAATGTATTTTTTCATTATAATTCGTTTAATTATTTATAAAAATCCTTAAAAAATCCACCTCTCAATTTTGCACCAAAACACTTTAATATATCTATTTTAATAAAAACAAAAAAAAATTCTCAAAAAATTAATGCTACCATGGTTACCAGGCCTCTCTCTCTCTATATATATATTATATATATATATATATATATATATATATATATATATATATATATATATATATATATATGTATATATATATATATATATATATATATATATATATATATATATATATATATATATATATATATATATATATATATATATATAAAGATATTTATATACATATATATTTATATCATAATATATATATATATATATATATATATATATATATATATATATATATATATGTATATATATATATATATGTATATATATATATATATATATATATATATATATATATATATATATATATATATATATATATATATATATATATGATATAATATATCAGGCCTTGTGATGAATAAAAACTGTGCGACGCATAAGCACAACGTGATTTTTGACGTCATTAAATTCTTTTTATTTGCTTTTTATATTTATCGACATTAACTGCACCAATTTAAGAATTAACTAATTATTGCATCTTTATCAACGCTATACTCAAATATTCTACTCAGAATTAAAACTTGCATTTCTCAAATTGCAATTGGTAGAAAGTTAAGCCAAGAAAGAAGACCTATTACATTTATTTCTAGAGCTCTACTATGAATAGAAAGTATCTAATCTGTCATGGAATGAGTAGCAATGGCTATTATGGAGATGACAACAACATATATATATATATATATATATATATATATATATATATATATATATATATATATATATATATATATATATATATATATATATATATATATATATATATATGTTGTTGTCGTCTCATTGCTCATTTTAAATGATTGGTAATAAAGATTTATTAGCAATCATTTAAAAACAAATAAAATTTTGAGAACCATGTTCTCAAAATATATATCAGAAACTAAAGAAAAATTCAGAAACATCTGAGTTAACTTTGTCTTTTCTAAAAGAGCCACTGCTTACAATAAAACAAAAAATGTTTACTTTCTTTATATGAAAAACTAATATTTTACTTTATAAAAATGCTGATAAGCTACTGAATAAAAAACATTCAAATATTTTTGACAAATAACATTTTTAAAATGCAAATTCGATTCATAAAAAAAAAATTCAATTTATTTAACACCTTCACGCCGGCGTGTACCACCGGTGGTACACACTAGACTGTCTCATTGGGGAGCGTGTACCACTGGTGGTACACACTAGACTGTCTCATTGGGCGGCGTGTACCACCGGTGGTACACACCGGCGTGAACGTGTTAAAATAGTTCATTAATGGGTAATAAAGTTTTTGTTTATATAAATTTTGTAATACCTTTGTTTCTCTTTTTTAAGCGATACTGTTAACGTTTTGTGTCAATATTTTACTTTTGTTTTTTTAATGTTTTTGTGATGTTTGTTTTGGAATGTTTTTGAATTTTTAATATAAAGTTTGACTTGCCATTCTTTCCGATCAAATTTGATTGTCCAGAATTGATTTTGGGAGATCAAAATATCATTTTTTCCAAAAGTAGATGATCATTGATCATTGATTGGCTGCTATTTCAAACTCTGCAAGTTATTATTTTTTATGGCTGATGTTCTGCATGCAAACGTTTCTGTTGCTTTGTTTTTATTGTGACAATTTTTAAAAGCTCTGAATATTATCAGCAAGTTTTACACTTCATCTGAATCATTTTCTTAAAAGTTACTGGACCTAAGCCCCCATTTTTCAATAACAGTTCTGTCATGCATTATAACTTGCTTTGAGTTTGCTTTGTGTAACTCTGTCACATTTCTTACTTAGAATGTATTTAAAAAAACCTTAGAAAACCTTAACTTGTATCAAGTTTAAAAAAAGTTAGATGTTTTTTATTTAACATGTTTATTCTCCACATGTCTTTAACATAACTATACTAAGACTAATTTTAATAGACTTTCTGATCTTAAATAATATTAAAAAAATCGTAAATATGTAAATGTATATGGTTTGTTTAATATTATTTAAAATCAGATGTAAATTATTTAAGATCAAATGTTACAGTTATATTTAAACTTTGAACTAATAAAATAAATTATTAGATTTTAAAACTTAACTAAAAATTTCTATATTTTGCGCTATAATTTTGAGTAAAATAGCGTTAGAATAACAGACATTTGATAAGTAATTTTTACTAACTTCTGAATGAATTAATAATCTTGCCATGCTTGAATAAATTTGAGAAAAAATGAAAAAATAAATTAAAAAAAAAAGAATGATTTTTTTTCAATAAAACTTGTTAAACTTGAAAAAAGTAATTACAATAAATAAGGTATGAACTTATGATGAACGAATATACAAAACATATTTTTTACATATATTTATTTTTTATGCTGACATATTCAGAGATTTAGATAAGCAACTGTATACTGTCGTAAAGCAAAAATAGGTCAGCTTTTGCATTGGTATTTTATATATGTATGTATGTATGTATGTATGTATGTATGTATGTATGTATGTATGTATGTATGTATGTATGTATGTATGTATGTATGTATGTATGTATGTATGTATGTATGTATATATGTATGTATGTATGTATGTATGTATGTATGTATGTATGTATGTGTGTATGTATGTATGTATGTATGTATGTATGTATATATGTATGTATGTATGAATGTATGTGTTTGGGTTTAAATTTTTATGCTTTTAAACTATTCTTCAATAAAAAAAGTCTTGATTATATTTAGAAAATATCAGATGAAATGCACAAATTTATGTTACAATTAACCAAAAAAGTTGTTGTTGGATTGGTAGGTGGATCAGATCTGGAAAAGATAAAAGAGCAGATGGGAGGAGAAAGATGTTAGGCATTTTTAATACAAAATTGTATTTTTGTTAACATTGTTGTTATTCTCAATCCAGTAGTTATTTTTTTAATATTAAATTTATTCAGATAAAAGTAAAATTTTAAATCTTTCTATGTAAACATTCCTCATGTGGGACAACAGTGGCTAAAGTTGACTAAAGCTGTGACTAAAGTTTTTTTTTCAAACCTGACCCTTGTCAAATTGTCAATGTGGCAGGAGTTACAAGAGGTTTTCTCTTTTTGATAGCTTTTAACACTTAGCTGTTTTAAAAGCAAATACAGAAATTAGTTTCTTAGAATACATATTTTTAATATTATCTACATAAAAATATTGAGAATTATTCTTTTCTAAAACAATTTTGAAAAAATTACTGTTTCAGAAATATTCGATTTTCGAAATTTGTTTATAAAAATTGTTCTATAAATAATTCAAAAAAATTTGAAAAGTCCTTATTTTAAATACAAGTTTTGACAGTTGAGCATATTGGATCAGGAATTAGTAAGGCATTCAAATCAGGAATTAGTGTAAAGGAAGGATCAATCACAAGAGTGTGGAATGCCAGGCTTTAGTTCTGAATTGCCAGAATTATCTTCACTTCTAACATCATAAAATACATTTTTAAAGATTTTTAGGGGTAAAAAGAAAAATTTCTGTTGACCAGCCTTGCACTCTTTCTGACATGCTGACACTCTTGCACCCTTTCTTCTTATAGGCTGACATAGATGTAGTTTTGTGTTAAATTGTTTCTTCCGATGATGAACATTAAATCTTCTTCTACTCATGGGTTTTTGCTTGAGCCTCTTTGGTAATTTGGTAATCTTCGGTATACTACTCTTTTTTTTATTTCTCAATGAAGGTACAGCTCTAAAATTCAGTTTAATGGCTCTGAGACTGGCTGGTAATAAAGTTTCCTAAACTCTATGATAGCTGTCAAAGAAGCTGATTCCATCAACACAGGGTTCATGGCACTCAGGGAAAACCTGGAAAACCAAAGAAAAGTTTTTAAATTGTGAAAAATCAGGGAATACCTGGAAAAGTCAGGTAACTTTTTTTGAAAATCCTAAAAATCAGGGAAAACTCAGGGAATGGTTTTTAGTTTTATATACTAACTTGAAGTTATTTTGTAACATACAAATTGAAAGTTTTTATTTTTATTGAAAGTTGCTCACTACAGTGGTTTTATAACTTTTATAAAATATAGTAACTATATGTTTAATTAAATATTTAATTAAATATAATAACATAAAATATGACTTCAGAGAAGACCTATTTTCAAGAAAATTGATTACAACAACATATTTATAAAAATGTTTAGTTAAAAAGCATCAATCTACTACAATCCTGTTAGCTATTTCTTTGTTAATGGAAAAGAGTTGCGAGCTGAGCCGCTTAGATGTGAAGAAAAAAATACAACATTTTCCACCAAAAAACAAACCACTATTGATTTCTCAATTAAATCATCTTTATCAATATTGCTGAGATCATTTCAGCACTGAAATCTACATAATAATTCTACTATTCTAATAATTCGTGTGCAAATTTAAACAACTCTTTTAAAAAGATCTTTCTTGACAGTAAGGTAGCAGAAGATTTTAGCATGAGTTCCTCAAAAATATCATACATTGTTAACCATGGAATGGTGCCATACTTCAAGACACTGTTACAAGAAGAAATCACAAAATCAGATTGTGACATCGTATCTTTTGATAAGAGTTTGAAGGACATAACCAAAACATGACAGATGGACCTACTCGTTCGATAATGTCAAAAACAAAGTTAAAGTAAGATATTGGACGTCAGCTTTTTTCAGTCATTCTACAGCTTCTGACCTTCTTACTCATTTTAACGAATACTTATCAAGATTTGATTCAAGTAAAATGTTTCAAGTTTCCATGAACCCTCTACAAATTGAAGTTTCTAGATGATCTAAATAAACACAAAAAGAACAACAAGATGCCACAGCTAATATTGGAAGTTGCTCCTTGCATGTTATTCATGGTACCTAAAAAGCTATCGAATCAACACCATAGAGTATTAAAGAAATTCTGAAAGTGTGCTAAAAACTCCTCACAACAGCCTGGCTAGGCGTCAAGATTATGAAACAGACACAACAAAATCTTTTGGTGGGTTAAAAATAAATCTGTTGCCGAGCATTGAAATCTAATATATTTAAGTTAATCGAGTTTTGGGAAAAGTTACCAGCTTTAAACCAACCCAAATCAATATTCCTTTTAATTGTCAAAAAAGCTGTTAAAGACAAACTAGTTCAAAATTTGAAGTTTTCAACTTTGTTGCCAGCATAGTAGAGCCATATTTGTTGGCGTACCAAACTGACAAGCCAATGATTCCATTCATGAATATATAAAAATAAATCCACAAGACTTCAAGCACTATTGTTTAACAGCGAAGCTATTTAACTATAAGTTAGTTTCTTTTTTTAACATTGCTGTACCAAAATTTTCTATCCATGATTGAAATGAACCTATTTGGGCTAATGTCAAATCCAATGAAAAAACCTAAAAGAAAAATTACTGATATTAAAAGTTTCCAAAAAGATTGCTTTGTATGACTAATTGAAAAGTTCATGGAGTGAACTCCATTAGGGTCTATCATTGTATGCGATTCTCAGGTTTTTAACCCTAATGGATTGATAACAATGAAAACACAGAAGAGTACAAATCTTTATTGACTTGATTAGCCTGACTTAACTTGATTAGCTTGACTAGTCTTTTCTGATAAAGCTATAAATCAATTTACAAATTTCTTTAGAGAATCAAGGGTTTACAAAAACAATTTTCATGAATTCAATAGAGAGAGTGATAGTTTAGACAAATAGAATACAAATAGACAATAATAAATATTTTAAAATAGAAGTCGTCTAATTAGACGTCTAATTAGAAGTGCCTTCTATTTAAAAAGTGACTTCTATTTTAAAAAGTGCAACCTAAATAAATATAACAAGTTGGCATTGTCACATAAATTGTCACTTTTGACACTGAGTTATGGATAAGCTTCAGTTGATAGAGGTTTTAGTATAAATGCCGCAGTACTCAAAAAAATTTAAATGAAAAATCAATAACTGCATGACGTTTAGTTAAAGATCATATGTTATCAAATAATCTTCAGCCACATAATATTAAAATTACAAACAAAATGATAATCAATGTAAAATCAGCCCATGAAAGATATAGAATGTACCTAAGTTCAATAAAAGGCACTAATAAAATCTTAGATCAAATGAGAAAGATAAAAAAATAACTTTATATAGAATAGATCTTATATAAAGTTTACATTTTGTTAAAACATTACTTTGTTCAAAATATATATCTTTTAAAAAAAATCTTTATTTTATGTTTCTAATATAAGAATAAAAAAAAGAATAAGGTTTAAAAAATTCTGATAAAAATATTAAGAAAACCTGGATTCAGTTGTGAAAGTATTATATCCTTCAACATTAACAAGGAAAATTATATACTTTTTACCACTGAAATCATGGAGAAATTACTTGAAATTGGGTGAAAATCAAGGAATAATCAGGGAAAATTCAGAGAAAATGGATTTATAAAACTGCTATGAACAGTTTAAAATACCAGAGTAATAACTGTGCCATGTTGCAGATAGAAAGTGTTCTTGTTAGTGCTTTTGGTGAGCATTGTTAGGACCACATAAGGATCTCTTTTATCTCTTTTATAACTTAAGCTTGATTGACAGAAATAAGACAATTACATAACTAATTGCTTAGAATGTCATACATTGTCTATGATTGAATCAAGTTCTTAATTAATTTTAAACAGTACCTAAAAATATTGATAAAAAGAAAAACATCATTACCATCAAATTGTTTCAATCTATTCTTTTTATAATAATATAAAATCTATACTTTATAGACCTACTTCCTTTTTGTGAAACTAATTTGAATTCCTTTTTTTAGTGTTGGTTGCAAACCAACACTAAAAAACATCTTCACTACTTAATTTGTGTTGCATCTCTAGCCTTAGCTTGTGCACTATTTCTCCTTGTTCTCTTGTTCAGGTGGTTTAAAATAGTAAAGTAATTTATGGTCATGGCTTGATCTTACTAAAACCTTTCTTGTACTTCTTCTACATTCTATCATCTTTGACTTCTTTTTTCTGCTTTAATGCTAACTGTGATTCATTTTTTGATTTTCTTTTGTGATTGTTCTTAGGTTGTGGTCAACTTTCTGCCTAAATCGCTCTACTTTAATTATCTTGTGGGTTCAGACAGACATGGAAACTTTTATTTCATATAGTTATTTTTAACTATAGACTATCCCATGGTATTCTCTCACTAATGCAGCTGCATTAGTGAGGAAATACCATTTGAATCATAGTTTTTTTAAATTTTTTACCATAAGAGTTGATAATTAGGGATCAATTCAAAATGCTGGCTCTAAGTGAAAAAGCATGTAGATTATCAACAACAAAGAACTGCGTTATCATTGTATTTATAAAGAGAATTGTCTTCATGTAATAATAATATTTCATCAAGAAAAAAACCAATTGAAGTTTAAGTTATTTATCTTTCTAATGCATTAAAAAAAAAAATCTAAAAAATTTTCTTAAAATACAAATAAATAGAGATTTTCATGATTTAAACGATTAAGAAAATTGATGGAAACATTTTTACCATCTCATTGTGTGATCAGATTCACTGCAAAAGCATTAGTGAGGATTTAAATCCAATTAATTTTAAACTAATACTAATGAACCTGAAAAATTAATTAAATAATAACTAATTCATTTATTATTTTCAGATGACTAAATCTTAAACTTGAAAAAAATAAAAGAAACAAGAAATTAACAGGTAATCATCTTAAAAAAAGTCCCTGCTTACAACAACACCACAAAAAAAATGTTTACTTTGTTTATATGAAAAACTAATAATTTTACTTTTTAAAAATGCTGAAGAGCTACTTAATAAAAAAAATAGAGTTGATTTTCATATGTTGTTACCAAAATAAATTTCTATTAAGCA